AAAGAACTAACTCTCTTGCAACAAGAGAGTGGTGATGATGTTATGCGGACCACAATTGAAGATATCGTTGTTGAAAATCGAGTACATAGAGTAAGCCCAATAAATCTCGATTTCGATGTCAGAGATGCAGAACCAGAAGATGAATTTATGTGTAATTTATCATCATCTGATGATGATGATGATGAAGATGAAGAGAATCCTTACTAATCTATGTATGTTTAAAATTACAATTGCTGAATAAAATTGTTGTATTGTAAGATAAATTGTGTTGGTTTTTTTTTACAAAAATTAGAATTTTACCGACTGATTTGCTATTGATATACTACTAAAGGTCCAAAATTTAACCCGCCAATTAAGCCCACCTCTAATCCCATTAACAGACCCAATAATTAAACCAAGCCCACTTAACCAACCCGATTAACCCTTAATCGCGAGAAATCCTCAAAGCAGTCTTCTATTCAACGAACCCTAATTCCCCAAATCCCAAAATCTCCCTTCAAATCGATCCCTTTCGATCCGATTTCGACCCTAAATTGACAGATAAACGATCCCATACCCTTCTAAATCGATCGATAATCCCTAATTTTCAGTTCTAATCGATTGATTTGCTTCTCCTCAAACCCTAAATCCCTAATCTTCGAATCCCATCACAAAATTTCCAACGAGCATCGATCTCAAGCCTCTCTTGGAATCTGATGGGTGGTCGTGGAAGGAAGAGACGCGGATGAGCACGAGGAGGAGCAGCCGTTACTCTCTTACCCAGTCGGTATTAGTTCATACCGACGACATCTCCACCACCGCTGGTCCCAACCTATGCGCCGACACATGTCCGAGACTATCCACCGCCGATGGAGCTCTTCCAGAGCTTGCAACAAGGATTCCCTGAGTCGCAACCACCGCCTCAACCTAGAAGGTCAGAACAATCTCAAATTCGATTATCTCCATCTCCTCAACACCTGTTCCAAGAGCAACCTCATCGGCAGCATTCTGCATCACCTCAATCTCATCAAGGAGCTTTTGGAGCGTCTTCTTTCTCTCAAAACTGAGCCTCTCCATTATCTCAAGAAGGAGGTAATTCTCCACACTCTCAACAAGCTCATTATGGTGGTGAAGAAGCTGCATTTTGAGATCATTCAGAAGAAGAAGACAGTGATGTCAATCTCTCTGAAGACCAGCTAAGGATTCTTAATGCCTTGCTCACGAAGCCTGGAAGAGAGGCTTATACTATGGTACTGTCTCCCATAGAGAAACTGGGTACAACGTGGTAAGTCTACTTCCTCTAGCTTGATTTGTTTCCTTCTTCAAATGATGATCTTGATGACTGCTTCCTTTGTTTTCTTTGTATGTAGGTTTGGTCGTGACAAGTCCTCACTTACCCGGAAGATTACTAAGGTCTTCACCAACACGTTTGATGGCCCTTTCTACAGCTGGACTCGTGTGCCTCGTGACAGAAAAGAGCGTTACTTCGTAGAATTTGCGGTAAGATCCTCCTTTTTTTCTATGTGTTTGTTATTGTGTTTGTAACTATGTATTATTCTAACATTATCTCTTTGTCTCTTGTTATTGTAGAAAACCCACACCTGGGATCCCTTGATCACTGGTGTGATTCAAGCCAAGTTTGAGAGTATTTGCAAAAGCTGGATGAAGGATATGGTCAGCACCGTAAAGACATTAAGAGTGCAACCTAACTGGATCGGCGATACACTCTGGGAAAAAATGACTGCGCATTGGGACACAGAAGAAGCCAAATAAAAGAATTCAACCACTTCAGCTGCTCGGTTGTCTGAACGTGGCAGTCTTGGTCCTCACGTTCATTACTCAGGTCAGAAATCCTATCTGCAAATCCAGCAAGAAATGGTAACTTTCTATTCTTTTATTATTCATTAAGTGTTAGAGTCTTAGGAATATGATTAATAACTTCGCTTTGACATATTTTGGTTTATCATTTCAGGAAGAGGAATTAGGTAGACCGGTGAGTCTTGGTGAAGTGTTCATCAAGACTCATACAAAAAAGGATGAGAGTTATGTGGATGGAAAGGCAAAGAGAGTGGCTGAGACTTACCAGAAAAACTTGGAAGCCAAGTTGTGTGCCATCAGGACTGAAAACTCAGAGAATCCTGAGGGTACATCACCTCGTCGAGAGCTAACTGTAGAAGAGGAGAATGACTTGTTCCTACAGGTACGGTTCTGTTTTCTTATTTGGTTTTTTTTTGCTTCTCCTTCTCCTTTGATTCTAACATAGTTTGAGTTTAATGAATCATATGTCTGACTCTTTTTTTTGTATTTGCAGTCCACTATTATGAGTGAAAGAGGAGTACCTTATGGAGTTGGTAGCCTCTCTAACGTGTATGTAAATGGCAAGAGGAAGTACCCAGGAAGCTCTGCATCCTACAACACTCTGCTGGAACAGCTTCAACAAGCTCAACACCAAATAGAGCTCCAAGCGGCTGAGAATGCAAGGCGTGAAGCAGAGTTTGCCAAAGCTTCAGCTGCGCAAGAAGCCAAGCTCGAGAAGCTCACGATGGTTGAAAGGTACTTGACTCAAACTGATCCACGGTTCAATGATTTTTTTGCTAGTCAAACTCCTCTATCGACCACTCCTGCTGTGAAGTCTACCACTCCAACACCTGCTGATCCGACAACAAATGTAACTCAAACCTCAAGTACCACCTTAGAAGAGTAGGTATCTTCTCACTTTTTTTAGAACCTTAGAACTGTTTTTATAACCATTTGAGATTTTTTGGTTTGTATGGTTGTATTGACTTTTACGTAAATTATTTGTTCTTTTGCTTTTTAAATATTCATCATGATTTTAGAATTCACAAAAGCCTTTTTACAGCATTGTTTGTAATCAGGGTTTTAAATTGGGGGTTTCTAAATAGCAATACCAAATTGAATATACGATGCTCAAAATAGTCGCCAGAAAGTCATAAATTAGTTGGAAAATGGTCACAGATCAGAAACGAATCAGTCGTAAAATTACAACAAATTACTATTCATTTCTCGACATCAGTCGGTATACAGTCACTAATTTGTAGGTAAATGGGTCACAAAACAGTCGTAACTTGGTCGTTATATTTAATGACTAATTAGCTACTATTCATATATTATTAATACGACTGCATGATAGTCGTAACTGAGTCGCATATGTAGTCATAAAATAGTTGCTATATTTGCCGACTGACTAATTTACGGCAATGTATATCACATACAAATTAGTCGTAATTCAGTCACAAATGAGCGACTATTTTACGACTGTTGGAATTAGCGACTAAAGATTAGCAACTGTTTTTCAGTCGCTAATCAGACGTAACAGGCTGAGTTACGACTGCTTAACGACATTTTCTGCTGTCGCTAAATTGGTGTTTTCTTGTAGTATCGTTTCTGGTGTATTGAACAGAATCTACAACATTTTTGGTTGTCTGTATCATAATGAAGCATTAAGATGTTTTGGCAACTGCATTAGATTAATGATGAGCAACGTATAATCACGTTTGTCCAAGTCCAACTCAATGTTAGACTAGGGCTTTGAGCTAAAAGGTAGTTTGCATACAAATTAACACATCTCTTAATAAAAAAAAGTTTAGAGATCACAAGTTCACAAACAAAGCTTAGCAGACATTCTCGGAGGTTTGCTATAACCTCCCGGTGTTGGGAACTGCTGACACGGTCATGGGCAAGCCCAACTCACAGGGGTCTCCTGTGACGGGTCCCTAAACAGTTCTAATATATCAAACATTCTTAACAATCAACAATCAATACTAGTTTTAATAATAATAATCTTTCCATTCATGTAGAATGCACATTCAATAACAAATTATAACGAAGAGATATTAAATAGGTTATCAAGCAAGGTTCCATATTTTAGGGTTTCATAGTTTTTAAATCTATATTTTATACTTTTCTTCCAAGCAACCATCAATCATCGATCAATAGCAAACCCTAATATTCATCTACCACATCCTAGCAATCAAATTTAAGTTTTAGTTTAAAAAAGACAAACTACAAGCAAACATGTATTTGAAAGAGAGGATGAGAGAAACAAGTCATCACTTTTGCCTTTCTGGTTGAAGATACGCCTTTTCCTCCTTTTGGGCAGATCTGACATCTGATACTGGAAAAACTTGGTCATTTCAAAAACTTAAGACTCAGGGTTTTGGATTAATATGTGAATTGTCACGTGGCTCATCATGGTTCGCCGGAAAAACGTCATGCAAAGCGGCGGTTAGAGAAGAGGAAGGTGTCCAGAAAGAGGAAAAGTAGAAAAGTTAGAGTTTTATCTTTGCTAAAAAAAAAAAATAGATTAGAGAAAATAGATTAGAGAAAATAGATTAGAGAAAATAGTTATACTTAGACTTTTATCTAATTGGACAAATGAACTTTTAAAATAAAAACAAATTGAAAAATCCAATATGAAATATTTTAAAACCGAAAGTTGGGTTATTAGACATAGTATATATCTTTTTCACAAAAAAAAACTAAATTTACAATAATAAAAATGAAATAATAGAAATGAAAATACTTTTCCTCAGAACTTTATTCATCTAATAAATAGAACTTTATTTTGTTATTAAACTTTTACCCTATCCTGCTATTAAATTGACAATTGACATACCAGCCAAACCTATTATTTTCTGCAAAAAGTTAACAAGCTATTCTGTTAATGCAATCAGAGTGTTTTTTTTTTCTTTTTTTTTTGAGCAAACGATTTATATTAATAGATTAAAGGGGGTCCCTGAGACTGAAATCAGAGTGTGTTTTTTTTCTTTTTTTTTTAGCAAACGATTTACATTAATAGATTGAAGGTATCCCTGAGACAGAGCAAACAAACTTGAAGCTTGCTTTGCTAGGATATCAGCCAGAGTGTGATCACTACGCCTAATTTTAATCAGTGTGTTATTTTAACAAATTATTGAACCAAATGTGATCACTGCGCCTAATTTATCTAGATCTCAATACTACCAAGCCATCTTGGGAGAGAGAGATCAGCCCAAAAAGAAGAAGCATAAATCATTCTTGCAACTGTTAGTTCCATTGGCATAACAGCTTTTACAATATTTTTCTTTCACAAACAAATTTGTGCATCTGTATCCCTCTTTTCTTTTTTTTTATCTTCTACTTTGATCCCACCCCCAATGGTTCTAGCAGCCGAAAAAAGCTCCCCGAAAATCTCAGACCAAAATAAATATATATGGAAAATTAAAACACTGATGGTGTTGATCGATTGATTTACCTCTTAAAAACAAACTCAAAGAGGACATTCTGTTGTTGTAGTCTTCCTATGAAAAAAAAGTTGTATTGTTTTCAGGTGTGGTGGCTAAACCAAGGCCTGATTGAACCGTTGACATGTCCGTTTGAGTGAACCCCTGAACCATTAGGAAGAATCTGAGGAGGCAAACCGATCGGCATTGGAGGAAGCTGAGGTGGTGTAGTTGGGTAAAGTGTGTGACCGTGAGGGAGACCATGTGGTAAACCATTCCCCTTACGTTGTTGAAGTGCATGTATCTGTCTTAGACCTTCCTCATGGATCCGAGCTATTGTGTCCAGTTCCTTCATCGATAGAGACTCTAAATTAGCACCATACAGAGGCGCATGTCTTGAAATCTCTTCTCGGAGTGAGGATTCTAACGTGTGGATGTATTGCTGTTGAAATAAACAAACATAGGAGGAGTTTAATAAGCTCTAAACAAAGAAAAACAAATTAAGAACAAAACGAAATCTGTTTTTTCGTCTCTATCAAACCTGGCAAGCTTGGAGTTTAGATTCCATTCCATCAATATAAGCTTCACACCGAGCAACCTGATCTTCTTTCTCTCGTTTCTCTTCTTTTGTTTGCCCTACTGTTTGTGTCAGTCGCCTGATTTCATCCTCAAGTGACTTGCGGACTTCTTCCCGAGTTACATTCTCTGTGGCATACCGTTTCAGCTCGTCTTCAAATCTTTTCCGGGCTGCCTCTGTAACCTTTAGCTTCTCGTTTAGTGCAGTTTTCTCTTTCCCTACCTTCTGTATTATTCACAAAGTAAACAGCATCTTGTTAAGTGAACAATACAATTTGGAGACTTGAACAAATATAATAGAGTGAAAGAGACAAGGAAGAATGGCTGTAATATAAAGATCCGATCATTTTTCAAGTCCTGCAAGCATATGCTCCATATCTTGTTTCATGACCGTACCTTAAGTTCATCACGCTTTCGGGTTTTCAGCAAAGCAAGTTGAGTCTCTGCCTCGTGAAGGCGATCCAGAAGAGTTTTCTTCTCAGATGAGAGCTTAGCTATCTCATCTTGACGTTCTGATCGGATCCACTCCAGCTGACTCTCCACGTCCCGAAACTGTTCAACCAGATCTTTCTTTTCCCGAGCAAAGCGGTCCATCTCAGCTTTCATTTCAGACTGCCATTTGATATTACAGTATTAGTACGCGGTATGAACACAGAACACCAAAAGCGTTCAGCATCGTCACTCTCGCAGCAGACAAAATGAAGTAATCACTTACCTTGAGACGGGTGTTTGCAGCCTCAGATTCACTTAACTTTTGTGTGATGCCAGATTTCTCCTTTGTCATAGCTTGAATCTCTGTCTTCTTTTCTTCTTTGACCCGGACAAGCTCTTCCTTGTTTGCGCGCAGTTGGTGCCACAGAGCGGCCTTGTCAATATTTGCACGTTCCACAACCTTTTTCAGCATTGCTAAAACCTGTCTTGCAACCTCTTGCTCTTGAAAAATCAGATTGGCAAGAATGTCCAACTCTAAGTCTAAATCCTGGCTGCTACTCGTAGGGGTGATGAATTTATCTACAAGTCTCTTCAGTATTTGAACCCTAAAGGGCTGATCTGGAAACCATTTGAATAGTATTGTGTATAGCATTTTCATGAATGCCCTCACGTGAGGATCTCTAGAATGAGCTAATGTCTCGGCAAGATTAAGGATTGTCTTGAACTCAATTCCTTCAGCGGCTGGTTGCTCACTGGCTTCTCCCTCCAATACAGGATCTTGATTTCTAAAAGAAGCGTCCCCACTAGTAGCACTCAGATTTGTGCCCTGAATACGTCTTTTTTCAAGGACCATGGCTACAGACTGAGCGACAATGGCTCCACGAGCAACAGCTTTTTCAAATGTTAGAGATGCCTCCACAGCAAGGCAGGGTATGGACAACATTTCCAGCAGAATGTAGACATCAAAAAATTGTCTATTTGCATAGAATTCATGCTCATCCCTCAAATCCGCCATTTCGGAGGCACTCTCATTTTCAACAATCAGAAAAGGCCCGCAGGGTAATGTCGCAAAATTGCCACCTAGACTGTCATCACAATTGATGTCCCTGAGTATCATTTCGGCAATATTAGCCCAACTGTGTACAGTTTTACTCAAATATTCAAGGACACAAACAGGCACATCAGCACCCAGACTTTTAAGCCGCTCACGGACTGACCTTACCTGTATAAGAAGTATTTTAAGGTTGGTCAAGATTAGGAAAATATTTAACTGCAACAAAGAAACAAAACTGAGACAGAATTCTTACAGCTTCAGGTAGGTGTTGACCATGGGAGGCAGTTTTAAATATGAAATGAATGGCCGCCACAAGATTCTCCTCATTTGAGTCACTCAGAAGCTCAAATGACTGAAGAAGAATGTGCTCCCACACTTCCCTGTCACATTCCAACTGGCTAAGAGCATTGTACACCTGTGCGACAGGAAAACGTCAGATGGTGGACATACACTTTCTCAGGCACTCTATGCCTCGAACACACAAGAAAATGGGTATAACTGGAGAAGGAAATGCTATACAAAGACTACTTACTGGTTCACGCAATGCTGGTTCAGCTTCAGGCTTTTGAAGCCGTTCCATAAGTGCATAAGCAGCCAGTGGGTGCTCCGAATGCTCAACCAATTTGGGAACCAGACTAACTAAATCTGGTTGCAAATGTTTGGGCGCTCTGTCTAAAACAAGAGCAATCTTTTGAGCAGAGTGTGGTCGTCGTCTAGGCTCTGGACAACCTTGTGGAACAGCCGAATCAAGGGTTTTAAGTGAGTTAACAATCAGTCCCAATAGCTCCTCAGACTGTTCTGGCCATTTTGTCTGAAGACCAAAATTTTTACAGATGGTCAGTAAAAGAATAAAGCAAAAAAGAAAAAGAAAAAAGCGTCTAGATAGCTTTTTCAGCAGTATGAAAACCCAACCTTTGATTGGACTGAAGCATCAGAAGACTGCCCAGCATATGTTTCAGGAGGAGAAATAGGCTCTATTGCAAGGGCTTTGTCAAGCATATCGATCCCATTCACCTCAGAGCTTTGTACAGCTGAGGTACTGAGAGTAGTAGCATCAGTATCAGATTTAAATCTCTCGTCAACAAGATGTTGTGAAGGTTCTGCTGCTCCATTTTCCCTAGTTGACTCCAATGAAGTTGCAGCCACGCAGCCATCCGTCTTTGGGTCCAATAAAGAAGGCTCAGAATGAGAGCCTTCCTCCGAAGGTTGGCAACACTCAACCATTATATCTAGAAGTAAATCAATAATTGCCTGCTGTAGAACTTTAACACCCATCAGCAAATTCATCAGGCTGGGTGAAGATTCATCATTCTTTGTTAGCTTGCTTCTATCATTACAAGATATTTTAGTCGGAAGAAGTAAACGCTTTACTTTAGTAGGATCGTCAAGATAAACACGCAATCCAGTAAGAAATCCAGCAATTGCACCCGCATCCATAAGAAGCTTCTCTCGAAGAGTAACTTGTGGTTGTGAATGATTCTCCCCAAATGTGAGATGGAATCCAGCTTGCGAAAGAAAATCTCGGAATGTGTCTTCCTCGTCTCCGCTTATCCCCTCACTTTCGTCAGAATCAATAATTTCATCAGGATCAGTTGTTAAGGCATCTTGGTCATCATCTGAGGCTAAGACCTGGCAAAATAATGGACAAAATAAAGAATCCAAAATGTAAGATTAAATAACACGATCAGGTCTCCAAGTGTCCACGAAAGAAAGGAGCTCCACCAAGATAAATCCAGAAGAAAGAACTCGTATTGATATTGTTTAAAGAATGAATGGAGCATAAACTAACCTCTAAGTCTGAGAACTCAAACCAAGGACAACAATCCAATATTTCACACACAAAAACAACAGTGTCACGCACAAGAAACCCAGCATCTGCCTCCAACATGTCAGACACCTTCATAAACTGTAGGACGGAATTATTCCATGTCTTGGTACATATAGATGACTCCTTCCACACACTTTTGGCTGTATTCTTTTGGTTCAGGATACCCATCTTGTACTTCACCCAGAAATTGTTGTCCAAATCTGAACCCGCAGATTGATCACTCTCTAAATATATGCATATGGTGTCAAAGGACTCGTATACACCTGCATTATACATGGCACACATGAACCAATTGGAATTCATAAATTTCAATAATCGAAGCTAGAAGATGAGGAAAAAAAAAATCAACCACTCACCAATCCGGAGTTCACATCCACCAGCCTGAAAGAATTTGCTAAAAATCTTTCGTGTTTCCATTATTTCCTTGAAGGCCAGGAAATTCTCCACTTTCCATGTAAATGAACTTCTTTTCACGCTGTTATCAATCTGTGAAGCTGAATTAGCTGATTCCGCCTCCAGGTAGTCTTTCGTTATAGATGTCTCTTTCAAAATAAGAACCTCAGCGGAGAATACAACAGTGTCTTGAACAAGAAAACCAGAGTCCTGATCAAACAAACTAGTAAGTGTTACAAATTCACGCCAACCCCAATCCTTTGCAGCTTTCGAGTACCGATTCTGAGATTCCTTTGTCACCGACTTCTCCTCCAATCTCTGGTTCACAACTGATAGTCGGTGGCTAACAAAACAGCTCCAATCACTAGAGCTTCGTGAATCTGTCACTTCAAGAAATACTGAAAGATGGCATGGTGGCTGGGACTGCCCTGAGGCCATTAAGAGTAAGACCATCAGATCAGACATTGAGCTCTACAAATACAGCAATCAAACAGCTCAACAAAGTAGGAAAGACAGAATTTTCAAACCGAGATTACAGGTTCTATGAGATAGCATAAAATGTAGTGAATATATTACAATTCCACTGTAGACACGATGAAAAATCTAGTACACTTACATACCTCGGGGATAAACAATAAGTCGACAATCCCTGTTCCCAATTTGAAACCTTTTACTTTTGATGCAAAGACCTGTTATCTTCCTCTTCTTCAGAAGATCTTTTAACCTTGTGAAATTTTCAATCCTCCAAGTGAATTTTCCCATGTGTGCATCTGATTTCCTAGCTCCACTCCCATTCCTTCCCCCAATCAACCCTCCATTCTTAGTAAAGCTACTGAACTCTTTGATAACATGAAACGACGTGCTAAAGACAGCCGTGTCATCAAGTAAAAAACCTGCTTCCGGGTTCACAAAGTCAGACATCTTCATGTAATCGTTCCAGCCCAAGCTCGTGTTATCACCGCTCTTATTATCAGCAGCAAACCTCCCATACGAATCTCTATGCATGTGAGTGCAACCAGGCTTCTGATTCAAAGCCGACATCCTAAACAAACACCAGCAGCTCCTGTCGGAAACCGCAGTCTTCTCTGTCTCTTTACTCTCCAAACACATAGATATGTATTCATGCGAGTTAACCACGCTCTGGTACACACTAATCCTCAAATTACACTCCCCAGCAGGGAAAACAGGGCTCATAATCTTCTGCGTCTTAATCATTTCCTTAAACAAGCTAAAGTTATTTACTTTCCAAGTGAACTTCCCACTCAACACATCCGGCATTGGTCCAGCGATGGAGTTTTCTTTGTACAAAGACTGCGAGTCATTGTTACAATCACGGCTAAAGCTAACAGACTCATTGAGAATCAAGATATCAGCAGTAATAAGCAAGGAATCATTGTTGAACAAAAAACCCATCTTTGGATCCAAAACACTCGAGCTAAGTGTAAAATCGCACCACCCGTGTGATTTCTTCTTACTAGAGAACCTATGCCAAGAATCCTTGTGGACTGTAAGGGAATCGTCTACATGGTTGACGATTGAGAGACGGTAGCTAGCGAAACAATCCCAACGAGACGAATTCGTGCCACGAGGGTCCATGATCTGAAGGTAGATGCTGATGTAACCAGGAAGAGCCTGAGAGTCACCTCTAGGGTAAACCAAGAGACGGCAATCGTAGCCTCCTACATCGAAGTACTTGCTCCACAGTGCCTTGGCTTTGACACGTGTGAAGTTCTCCACCGTCCATCGGCACATGGCTGTGTAATCTCCCGGACGATCGACGGCTACGATCTCCTGCGCACCTCCGCTCCCGTCTCTAGACGATCCGACCTGAAGGTCTTCCGCCGGGGAAATCGATGACGAGGAGAGAGGCTTCTCCGACGAGGAAGATGAAGAAACGGACGGATGGGATAGGTCGGCGGCTGATGATGACGACGACACTGCCTCCGATGAGCTCTGCTTCATCATTTCTATGGCGGTTTTTCTTCAATTTCTTCTTCCTTTTTTTTTTTCTCTCACAGCCCTCTGTGTATTTTATCTAGGTTGATCAATTTTTTTTTGCTAGAGACTAGAGAGAGGGCAAACACAGGATCTAACGTGCGCCATGCTAGCTAACATGCGCTCCTCCCCATGTCCAAATTACTTTTTTTTTTTTTTGATCTAAGTCCAAATTACTTTTGTTTCATTTTTGTAAATAAAATCGAATTTGATTATTTATTTTTTTGAACCTTGAATTTGATTATTGCTGTCCAAATTGCTTTTGTTACATTTTTTTCCTTTTTTTTTCTCTCCCTTGCTTTTGTTTAATTTCTCAAAGACCTCGAATGTTTTTTAATATATAAATAATGCATATAAAAAAATAGTTGTAACCGTAATGCCAATGGACTTTTAAAATGCTACTCCCTCCGTTTTACAAAGAGTATCGTTTTAAGATTTTATTTTTGTTTCACAAAGAGTGTCGTTTTATATTTCCAATGCAAAATTTTAAACGATATTCCAGTTTTAATCCTATTAATTTAATGTATTTATTAGATAAAAACAAATTATTTAATGTATTAATAAAGGACAAAGTTGTACTTTTAATAATTTTTTTAATATGTGTGAAAAATATCAATGACATTCTTTATGAATTGGAGGGAGTATAGTATTTTAAAATATTAAAATTTATTCTACGAAATCAACTATAATTTTGTGGATAAAGTGAAAAAATGCAACTCTGAAACATCATATGGGCATAATGGCATATACACAATCAAGGTAGATATGGAGATTATATCTCAAAGTTTTATAGATAGTAAACATGAAATAAAATTACTCGAATAAAGATAACATGATCAAGAGAGATGATATAGCATTTCAAAATTACAAAGGAATATTCATCTGCCGATAAATGAATTGATTTCGGCTATCCAAACATATCGATAAAGATTGAAGTTTTTCAGGAAAATTGACCAGTTCCGCCCTAAACTATGTACTTATGTTAATCTCAGACCTGAATTTGTAACCAGTGCAAAAACAAACTTAAATTTCTGATTATTTGAATCTCATTTCTAGTCTTTGTTTTTGTGCTTAAACCTATATTCCACTAAATACTGTTAAGAATTCGCTAAATCCTCTTTCTCGCTCAGTCCCGACTCGCCTGAAGCTTATTCCTACACAAATTACAGTGTCAAAGGATAGTATTTGTTAGTGAATCAAGACTGATAGAGACATCTATTTCCCAAATTTTAGAAACACGCAAACACAGAATAAAAAGAAAATCTGTAATCACTAACCTGAACTATTCGAAGAAGACATCGACCTCGAAGAATCTTGAATCGTCTCTAACAACCTTAAAATAGATTTTGAAATCCCTAGTTCGTCTCCTTCTGAAATTTCTAGTTCATCTCCTTCTGAAACCTCTAACTCGAGCGTTGAAGAGAAAGGAGGGACCAAAAAAATAACCAAAATAATGCCATAAGAAGCCCAGATACTAAACGACGTTGTTTTGTATATTAAAATGACTCATTTCGCGGCTCCCTAAGATGATGTTGATGCTTATGTATCAGTACGTAGACTTGATTTGACAGATTCTTGACATTGTTTAGTGGAATGTAGGTTTAAGCACAAAAACAAAATTTAGGAATGAGATTCAAATTAATTAGAAGTTTAAGTTTGTTTTGGCACCGGTTACAAATTTGGGTCTAAGATTAACATAAATTCATACTTCAGGTTGGAATCGGCCAATTTTCCAAGTTTTTCGAGAGATTGTGTTTTTTTCTCAAAAAAAAAAAGACATCTATAAAGAAATTTATTACTTTCTGGCAGATTATTAGTGGGATACTGGTAACAAGACCAGATCAACATATTGGACTGGATGAAAATATATGAATCTACCAAAGAAAGAAAAGTGGTTTAGGCTTCCGTTACAGTGCAAGCTTTAATGTAGCACGGCTTGATAAGCAAGCATGGTGCATAAAGTAAAATCCCAATTTCCTTGTGGCAGGGTCTGAGAAGAAGATGTAAGACCGCGAAAATCCGATTGAAATCACGAATAGAAAATAGCAATTTTATAAACGATATGTTGAGGTAAGAGATTAAAACGAGAGTTAGAAAACAGATTGAAAACAGACGAAAACATAGAGTCGAGATATGATCTCTTTCCTTAACTCAATAAATCGCCCGTAATGTGTGACGGTTTGTTGTGATTTTTGAATCTCACGATACAACCGTGATGAGACTATTACGCAACACCCGTAATAGAATCTGCGAACTGAAATTATACTACGCTACAGCTCTCGAGACATTTACGATATTAAGACGAGAGGGATTTGCTGGAAAGAATTATTTGCTGTGTGTTTGGTGTATTCGAGAATTCGATTCTAATTCGATGATGTAGAATGAGAGAAGAGGGCGTCTATTTATACTGGAAAGTTCAGCTTGATCCGCAAGGAATAAGCTTTGGCGAAAAAGAAATATTCACGAAATATTCTCCTTTTTCCGCAAGTAAAAGGATTCGGAAATCTTCCGTTATTATCTGGACGCAATCTTTTATTTTCTAAGATTTATCCTTTCAATATGCAAAAAATATTTCGCAGGAACTAAGAAGCCCACGACCCACACCCAGCTATATAGAGCCCAAGAGCCCAAGAGTCCTAAGAGCCAACTAAAAAATGCAACGAGCAACGAGCACGAGCCCGAGCCCGGCACCGGCGACGGCGATGGCGACGGTGCCCTTTTACTTCCACAATGCTGTTGACCCTTATTGTGAGAAGGCCATATATATACAAGAGATTTTTCTCTTTGGTGAGCAATGTGGGACAAATACACTTCCACTAAACTTCCACTTTTAGTTATAGCCAATAGGAACATTTCATTTCCATAGGCTCAAACCCAAATCTCAAATGAATTTATAAGGCTCATTTGCTTATTAAACTTCATTTCTTATTCACAAACAAACTCAATATTACAAGTCCAAATGCTTATTAATATTGGGTTCCAACAATCCTCCACATGAATAGAAATGACTCTATACATATGCAGACTCGATAGACTATGCAGACTAGACTCAAACTAGACTACAGACTCGACAGACGGACTTTTCAAGAGTATAAGCGAAAACTAACTGTGTCTGAGGAAGTAGCGTTTTTCAGCCTTGAATCACTCATTGTTAATATCTGTCGGATTTACTCTCCAGGAAGTGAACATGATGTCTTGAACCGCCCAGATTTTGGTGTAAACCAAATCAACAGATATAACCCAGCTTCGTCTTCTCGTAGCATTCAGTTCTCTATTGTGTTCATTGTGGCCTTGAACGTGCCTGGTTTGTCATGAGTGAACTTGGAGAGTATAGCCTTGTCTTCGTTCTCCTAGAAACGGCCTCATTTCACACTCACTAGGTGATTGCCAAGTACCTGTCACATACACAGAAAGTATCCTGTTATACTCTATATACATGTATATGAAGGCTATGGTCTTATCTCATTAAAAGCCATAAAGCTTAACCTTACATAATTACAGGAAGCACTGTTTATCATCATGGAAATTGAGCATTTTACAGTGCTTTTCTCAGATTCTGCTTGATTTAGTTGTCCCTTTGAATCAACCTCTTGGGATCTCCAATCGCGTAGGTGGGATTTCCATCAAACATCCTCTTTCGTGATAGGCAATAAGCCCATTCCCTTAGATGATTTAATGATTTGATCTCGCGGCAAGCTTTTGGTGAATGGATCCGCTAAATTTTCTGCTGACTTGATGTAATCAACCGTGAGTACACCACTTGAGATCAGATGCCTAATGGTCTTATATCGTCTTCGTATGTGACGAGACTTGCCATTATAAAGATTATTCGTGCCCGAGAAATAGCCGACTGACTATCACAGTGTACACGTAATGCTGGCACTGGTTTTTCCCACAACGGGATATCTTCCAAGAAGTTCCGAAGCCACTCTGCTTCTTCTGCTGCTTTGTCTAAAGCTATGAACTCTGACACCATGGTTGATCTGGCCAGGAGTGTCTGTTTGGAAGATTTCCAGGATACTGCTGCTCCAGCAAGTGTAAAGACATATCCACTTGTGGATTTGGAATTTCTAGAATCTGAAATCAAATTATCATCACTATACCCTTCTAACACTGTTGGTTCTTTACCAAAGTGTAGCCCATAACTCTTAGTGTATCGCAAATAGTTCAACACTCTAGTTATTGCTTTCCAATGAGTATGACCTGGATTACTTGTGTAGCGACTTAACACGTTTACCGCATGCGCTAGATCGGGTCTTGTACAATTGGTCAAGTACATCAGACTTTCAATTACCCGTGCATACTCCACCTGTGATACTGGTTCACCTGTGTTCTTGGTTAGGTGAGCTTGCATATCCATTGGAGTTTTTGCGGTTCCATTCGAGTAGGTCTTAAACCTCTCTAGGATCTTTTCAGTATAGTGAACTTGAGACAGAGTAATTCCATCTGAAGTTCGAATGATCTTAATCCCAAGAATGACATCTGCAAGTCCCATGTCTTTCATGTCAAATTTTCCATTGAGCATGTTCTTGGTTTGTTGAATGATATCTTTGTTACTGCCAATAATCAGCATGTCATCTACATACAGACATAGTAAAATGTATCCGTTTGGAGTACATTTGTAGTAGATGCATTTATCACATTCGTTAATGCTGAAATCATTTGACATCATCACATTGTCAAACTTTTCGTGCCATTGTTTTGGAGCTTGTTTCAGTCCATACAATGATTTAACGAGTCTACACAGTTTGTGTTCTTGACCCTTAACCTCGAAACCTTCGGGTTGTTTCATGTATATCTCTTCTTCTAAATCACCATTTAGAAACGCAGTTTTAACATCCATCTGATGGATTTCCAAGCCTCGCAAGGCTGCTACGCCAATCAATATTCTGATCGAAGTTATTCTCGTAACTGGAGAATAGGTGTCAAATAAATCTAGACCTTCTTTTTGTCTGAATCCTTGCACCACA